TATAGCTCCGGGAAGCCGGAGGGACTCTCCACGGAAAATATATGGAATTTGATGAAGGTTCGTAGCGGATGATGATGCTTACCAGTGTTTGACACAACCAAGAGAAATTCATGTCCATTCGTGGTACTTACTGTATTGCAAATTTATTTTAAAAAGTTTTAAAATATGTAATTACAGAATGATGTAAAAATGTTTTTTATAGCAAAATACTGCACTGTATCACTAAATTCTGCGGCCATAGTAACCAAGACCAGCCTATGTTACACAAGGTAACAAATTAAGGTTTTATTATAAATGATATAAAAACCGGTACTTTTATTTATATGTAAACAAAATCACTCATTATATATTGTGTATCTAAAGATGTAGAAACATGTCTTGTATCATTTGTCAAAAAGAAATTCCAAGCAATTTGATGATACATAGCTAAAAATTACCAAATATTCGGCATTTTGGAATACTGTACTGTATTTACAATTCTAGATTTGATCCGGAACAACACAATCAGGTTTATGGAGATGCCACGGCAAATTTTACTATCTGGAATTCATTATAATTAACTCAGTTTTCTGCAGTCATATCACAACAAGCTATACATCTTTGTGACTTGCTTGCTTCAAAATGTTCAAGTCCAAAACCTGAAAGACTTGTTTAATCCTTTAGCTAAAGAATTATGCTCTGTAATTCTGCTGCTAAAAACAGAGCAACAACAATATATATTTTTAAGTATATAATACACGATATCACCAGATGTCATACATGACAGTTCCATACATGACATCGCCAGAATCCCCACACTCACACGAACGAGATCTAGAGGTGGTTCTGGATAGAAAACTGTCACCAGAGGAACACAAAGAACATTGTGAGGAGTGTATGTGTCGCTTCAGATTTGATATTAATTACTTGGAGGTAAAATATTAAAGAAACTGTTCATGACTTTTGCGAGACCAAAATTGGAATATACAGCAGTTGAATACTGTACTGCCCATATCTCAATAAACTGGAAAAGGTACAAGGGACCTTATATAATGGCTTCCGGAACCGAGAAACAAGAATTACTAGGAGAGGCTAGAGGCATTAAATATGCCAAAACTAGTAGATAGAAGAAAAAGAGGTGATATGATCACTGCTTACAAAATAATAACAGGAATCAACCAAACTGACAAGAGGAATTCCTGAAATCAGCAACTTCAAGAACAAGAGGACACAGATTCAAGCTAAAGAAACAGAGATGACAAAAAAATATTAGAAAGTTTTGTTTTACCAACAGTGGAACAAGTTAAGACTTTGTGCAGCCCGGCAGGTCACCTGCAGCGCACCGCAAGGTAGGCAGCACATAGCCTCTGAGTGCACAACCCCACTCGAATGTTTATATTCTTTACAATATTCTCACCTCAATTTCCGTGTTACGTGGTTCATTTTGGTATCAAATTGTTATCAACAGAATGCTCTAACAGAATTTATGAATACTTGTACAAGGTAAAATAGAACAACAACATTACCAATACCATAAGATAAAGTACATCGTCATGTTAAAAAAATAAATAAATAAAAAAAACATCATTGCTTACAGTCGTTACTGATTCCCGATATTATGTGTTACGCTATATCATTTGTTTTTGTGTTGTTTCGTGTTTATAAAGGCAGTGATAAAAAATACCCGAGGTAAAACAACTGGAATGGACACACGTTTCAACTCGAGGGTCAGTCACGAGACTGACCACGAGAGTGGTCACGAAAACAATTAGGTACCCGTGTGGGTGGCCACCCATGCAGCAGTGTCATGATGCCGTGTGGGTGACCACCCATGCAGCGGTGTCAAGATGCCGTGTGGGTGACCACCCATGCAGCAGTGTCAAGATGCCGTGTGGGTGACCACCCATGCAGCAGTGTCAAGATGCCGTGTGGGTGACCACCCATGCAGCGGTGTCAAGATGCCGTGTGGGTGACCACCCATGCAGCAGTGTCAAGATGCCGTGTGGGTGACCACCCATGCAGCAGTGTCAAGATGCCGTGTGGGTGACCACCCATGCAGCAGTGTCATGATGCCGTGTGGGTGACCACCCATGCAGCAGTGTCATTATGCCGTGTGGGTGACCACCCATGCAGCAGTGTCATGATGCCGTGTGGGTGACCACCCATGCAGCAGTGTCATGATGCCGTGTGGGTGACCACCCATGCAGCAGTGTCATGATGCCGTGTGGGTGGCCACCCATGCAGCAGTGTCATGATGCCGTGTGGGTGACCACCCATGCAGCGGTGTCAAGATGCCAAATAGTGTATACAGAGAATGGGGAGACACTGGCACACATTTTAAAACAAGTCCCATAACAATCGGATAATAACTGGAATTTTTCCAAATATTTTAATTGTTGATGGCGTTAATGTTATGCTGTACCCTACTTGTATTGTTTTAATGACTCTGAGGACATCATCACAATGTCAAAATGTTAAGTGAGGTAGTGGTGGTGGTGGCCAAAACTGGCAGTAGTTTCAGTGTTATATGACAAAGAGTACTGGGAAGATTGGACACCACAAGCATACAGGAATATGTATCCTGTAACTACAGTTATGTAATTACACACCTGGTGAAGTGTACTCACCTCAATTAGGTGAGTACACATGCTAATTATAATGAGAGAATGTGCAATTGAGCTAAGCGTTCCACTTCAACTGATATTCCAGACATATTTGTCAACAGGAATCTTAGCAGATATGTGGGGAAAAGGCAAGCATAGTTCCAATCTACAGAAGTGATAGCAGAGAAAACCCTCTAAATTATAGACATGTATCATTAACACGCATTGACATCATCAAAACACTAGAGAAAATAGTTAAAACCAAATGGGTAGAACACCTGAAGAGTAATGATACAATAACGGACAGACAGCATGGTTTTTGAACAGAATGATCCTGTGTAACAAATCTACCGTACCTAATTTTTATGAAAGAACCACAGAGATGCTACAGGAAAGACATGGTTGGGCTGACTGTGTATCAGAACCTAAAAAAGGCTTTTGACAAAGTCCCACACAAGAGGTTGTTTGGGAAACTGGAACATGCAGGAGGGGTGACAGGTGCTCTGCTGACATGGATGAAAATTTGTCTTAATGACAGAAAGATGAGGGCAGTAATTAACAGCAATGTATCTGACAGGAGTACCACTGGGTTCAGTTCTTGCACCAGTAATGTTACTCGTCTACATAAATGATCAACCAAAAGGAATACAGAATTATATGTACACGTTTGTTTACGATGCTAGGATACTGGGGAAGATAGGAAACCTAGACGATTATGATGCCCTTCAAATAGATCCAGATAAAATAAGTAATTGGAACACTATGTGGCAAATGGAATTCAATGTGAATAAATGCCATGTTATGGAATGTGAAATAAGATAAAACAGACCACACACAATGTATAAATTTAGTGGAAAGGACTTAAAGAAGTGTAACAAAGAAAGATAGCTAGGAGTGGTTCTGGAGAGTAGACTGTCACAAGAGAAACACAATGAACATTGTGTGAGGAGCATATGCTGCACCTTCCAACTTCAGGATCACTTTTAATTACATGGCTGCTGAAATACTAAAGAAACTGTTCATGACTTTTGTGAGACCAAAATTGGAATATGCAGCAGTTGTATGGTGCCCATATCTGAAGAAGCATATCAATTAACTGGAAAAGGTGCAAATGCATGCTTCAAAATAGGTTCCAGAACTGAAAAACAAGAGTTATGGAGAGAGGGAGAGGCTAGAGGTGTTAAATATGCCAAAACTAGAATATAGAAGAAAAAGAGGTGATATAATCACCATTTAAAAATAATGACCGGAATCGACCAAACTGACAAAGAGGAATTCTTGAAACTGGCAACCTCTAGAACCTCAACCTCAATGTCATAGTTTTAAGCTAAGGAAACAAAGGTGCACAAAAATGTATTAAAAAATTTTCTTTTGCAAATAGTAGTAGACAGCTGGAACAAGTTAAATGATAAAGTGGTGGAAGCCAAAACGGTCAATAGTTTCAGTGTGTTATATGAGTGTGTGCTGGGAAAACGGGACACCACGAGCGGAGCTCTCATCCGGTAACAACACTTAGGTAATTACACAGGAGCACAAGTTTGTAAGTAAGATTATAACTGAAAAGTGAAGAAAGCAATGTGTGGTGTGGTCTGGGTGTGCATGAAACACCACAAACTCTTCACAAGTGACCTCAAAGACAATAGTGGCAGTTCTACAATGCATTTTCATTGATACTTTGAAGATTTTACATATTTTTTACAATCACATTTTCCTTACACTAGTACAGAACTCTTGTTGTTGATGTTATGTCAGGTTTAAAGGGTCACTGCTTATCTTTATTTTATTATTATTATTATATTTAATCATGTCCTTGTTTTAGTGCGCTTTACAAAATGGTTTATTTCTGTCACATGTGTGGCTGACATAAGAGAATATGGAACTGTTTTAGAAATTCTTGTTAAACTCAAGCTGGCACAAGTAATCATCAGAAATATATATTTTTTAAGTCATTTGTTCATCTAGTTCATTCATTCATCACATATTTCCTCAAACATTTCCCATTTACACAACTTTAAACATACAATATACACAAATACTATCACCATATTAACTTTGTCACCTTTGTAATAAATACCCATCACTCCACATGCTTGTCATTCACATGTCACTACTCAAGCTAATGTACGCCTCAAAACTTCTCTTACTCTTTAAACTCTCACATTCTAGTCGTAAAGTTTCACTACACATCTACATTCCATGTGTGTCTACACACAACTTTTCAGTGATCACCTGATCCTCACATCTTCTACCTCTAAAGTCTTATGAGAAAACAAAGTTAAAGAATGGATAAATATTTAAAAGGAACATTAAAAGAAAATTGTTAAAAAAGATGATAAATAAAGTATATAGTTAGTGAAAATATTTTTTGTAACTGCCAGTTTAATGATCTAAGTAATTCTGAATTTTCGCAAGACTTACCCGCCACGTGATCTAGAGCGAGAACGGGAGCGAGAACGATGCTTCTTTTTCTTACTGGAGCGCCTTGATCTGTATGAATCTTCACTGCTGACAGACCGCTGTAGAATAAAAAGAAATAGAATATTACATTAAGACAATATTGTAAATATATTAAAGAATATTTATAATTCTTGCTACCATAGTAAGTTTTCTCTAGGAATACATTACATTAAAAGTCATAGAATTCTATTAATCCTGTGAGGCAAGATTTGCCATCCCTGAACCTATGCTGGTGATTTGTTACAAAGTTCTTTTGCTCCAGATGTTCTACTTGTTTTTTCTCACACTCTTCTCCATTACCTTGCATGGAATGCAAGTTTTGGACACTGGCCTGTAGTTAAGTACCTCCTGTCTGTCTTCCTTCTTGTATATCAGACTACATTAGCTGTCTTCCTAATTCTTGGCAGCTCTCCTGTTACCAGTGACTTGTTATACACCATTGAGAGTGAAAGCCACAGTGCTTCTGCTCTTTCTTTTAGTATCTATGGTGAGATTTAATCCAGTTTTAGTTTTTTTTTCAAGCAGCCCCACCACATTCACCACATCCAATTCAAGCAAATGCTTCCTTACCTTCCCTATGGTCATCTCAAACTCCTCCAGTGGTGTCTGGTTATATATTAGCTCTCTTAGTTCTGGAGCTATTCCTTGCTCTATTGTGAAGACCTCCTGGAATTTCTTATTGAGTTTCTCACACAACCACCTTGCCATTTGTAGTGAACCTGTCTGCCCCTATCCTCAGTTTCATTACCTGGCCTTCACTGTTGTTTTCCTTCTGATGTGGCTGTGCAGCAGTTTAGGTTGGGTCTGCTTTATTTGCTATGTAATTTTCGTCCTGTCATTCTGCCTCTCTTCTCACCCAGAGATACTCATTCTTGGCATGCTGGTATCTTTCTCTACTCTCTGGTAGCCTGGTATTTCTATAGTTTCTCCATGCCCTTTTATTTAGTAGCTTTCCCAGCTGACATCTCTGATTAACAATGGGTTCCTGATTTGCATTTTTTTTTCTTTTGAACTGGGACAAACTTGTCTGCTGCCTCCTTATACTACTGGGTGATATAGTACATCATATCTTGTGCAGCCTTTCCTGTAAGCTCTGTTACCTATGGTATATCTCTTAGGAATTGTCTTATCTCCTTGTAGTTCCCCTTTTGGTATGCCAGCCTTTGTTTTATGGTCTCTTCTTTGAGCAAATAATACCTTCTTCTACCAGATACTCAAATATCAATAAACTGTGATCACTCATTCCCATGGGGGCTATGAAGTTGATTTCCCTTACTGTATGTCTGAATCGTTCAAAGTAAAGACATTAATCCTTGGAATCACCACAAGGTAAAGGGTGCATTATTTAATGTAGCCTAGGGAGCCGGTCGGCCAAGCAGACAACACGCTGGACTTGTGATCCTGTGGTCCCGGGTTCGATCCCGGGCACCGGCGAGAAACAATGAGCAGAGTTTCTTTCACCCTATGCTCCTGTTACCTAGCAGTAAAATAGGTACCTGGGTGTTAGTCAGCTGTCACGGGCTGCTACCTGGGGGTGGAGGCCTGGTCGAGGACCGGGCCGCGGGGACACTAAAGCCCCGAAATCATCTCAAGATAACCTCAAGATAGCCTGTGGTGGCTCATCACCATTGTCTGCATGCCACCAGTTCAGCCCTGATGGATGCCTTAGTGGTTAAACTAGTTTCTATGATCCCTGTTCCAAGACTCGTACTTCTCAGATTGTCTTCAGTGTCATCTAAGGTAACCAGTCTGCAATCCACCCTTGGGCCCATGATGCTTAACAAATATACTGCAGGCTGCTGTTTTTTTCAAAATTGTCCTCATTGAGATAGAGTGGAGCTTTTGTGATGTCACATTCCATATTAGTGGAATGTGACTTTGCACATATTTTGGCAGTTATGCCCCTTATATGTAGAGGGAGGGTCGATCCCAAAAATTTAGATGTTTTATAGAGGGGATTCAAGCAGCAAAGGATCGTCGCACATTCTCCAGGTCAGCAATTTCTCCAGCTTTGAATGGGGTTGTTACTGTGCAACAATATTCCACTCTAGAGCACACTAGCATCTTGAAAAGTATCATTGGTATGTCATCCCTGGCTTGAAAGGTTCTTGTTATCCAATCTGAATTTTTTCTTGAATTCGTGACAACTACATTATTGGGTTCTTGAAAGGTAAGGAGTTCCAACATGATTACTCCCAGATCCTTTACGGGGCTTTTTCATTTTATAGTGTTATTTGAGTGCATTTTGTGTGTGGTTAAACTTATGTCTTGTGGTTATGTGATATTATTTATATTTTAATTTCTTCGAAAGTGCAGGAGCTGGAATATCTTGTTATTATCTATGGCCCATTGGTTCATTCTTCATTAAACATCTTGTTATTATCTATGGCCCATTGAAAGACCTGATTTACATCAGATTGGGGGGTATGCTGTACCCTCTATATTGTTTACTTTCATGAAAATCCTAGCGTCAACTGCAATGGATGATACAATACTGTAGTTTGTATCCATGTGTATGTCTGATAAGAGTTTAAGAAAAAGTACCAGAGCAAGTATGGTAACTTGGGAGACAGCTTTTCACAGTGGATGATCTAGATTTTACTTTGTTGACAATTGCACTCCAAGTTCTGTTTGTTAGGAAGTTAATGATACATCTCCCTGCTTTCCCAGTAATTCCTTTGGAACGCATTTTGTGCGTACCAACACCATGGTCTCATCTGTCGAAAGCTTTTACAAAGTCTGTATACTGTATATTACATCTGTTTTGTTTGTCTTTTTTGGTACAGTATCTAAGGCCATGTCATTGTGATCTAGCAATTGTGAGTGTCAAGAGCGCCCAATTTTGAACCTATGTTGTCTGGGGTTATCAAGATGTTGTGAATCCATGTAATTAATGACTTTACTTCTTAGTACTCTTTCAAACGCTTTGTTGATGTGTGATGTTAGAGCTATTGGTCTAAACATTTTCCATCATCTTTATTACCACCTTTGTGAAGTGGTCCTGTCTCTGCTGTTTTAAGTACGTCGGGGACAACAGCAGTATCTAAGCTCCATCTCCAAAAGAAGTTTAGGGCTTGTGATAGTGGTGTTTTACGCTTCTTGATGAATGTAGATATCCAGGAGTCTGGGCCTGGTGCAGAGTGCATGGGCATGCTGTCTATGGCTGGTTTATTCTAGGTCTTGGTTTATTCACTCTCAGATATTCGGTTTATTACTGAAATGTAATTTACCGACTTCTGTCAGTAAATCCTCTTCGATTTGAGACTGGCTGCTCAAGTCTATTGCTCATGATTGTCTGAATTTCGATTAGGTTGTGAGCTGAGTAGCATGTATTTGTAATCATTATGTCCCTAATCAGCTCATCATTGTTTGTAAAAATAAGATCTAGGGTGTTTACTTTTCAAGTTAGTTCTACTATTTGCTAACTTAAAGCAAATCTATCATACATATGGAAGAGGTACCTGGATGGGGGTTCTGGGAGTTCTACTACTCCCCAAGCCCGGCCCGGGGCCAGGTTTGACTTGTGAGAGTTTGGTCCAACAGGCTGTTGCTTGGAGCAGCCCGCAGGCCCACATATCCACCACAGCCCAGTATGGTGGGCACTTCCTGAAGAAAACTATCCAGTTTTATCTTGAAGATGTCCACATTTATTCCAACAATATTTCTTGCTGCTTGCTGGGAGGATGTTTAACAACCATGGACCTCTGATGTTTGTTTATATAGTGTTCCTTGATTGTGCCTATCCCCCCCCCTGCTATTCGCTAGTTCTATTTTGTATTTCCTTCCATACTGTTCACTCCAGTATGATTTTATTTTACTATCTAGATTTGGGACCTGGCCCTCCAGTATTTTCCACCTCGAGGTTACCTTGAGGTGCTTCCGGGGCTTAATGTCCCTGCGGCCCGGTCATCGACCAGGCCTCCTGGTGGCTGGATTGGTCGACCAGGCTGTTGGACGTGGCTGCTCGCAGCCTGACGTACGAATCACAGCCTGGTTGATCAGGTATCCTTTGGAGGTGTTTATCCAGTTCTCTCTTGAACACTGTGAGGGGTCGGCCAGTTATACCCCTTGTGTGTAGTGGAAGCATGTTGAACAGTCTCGGGCCTCTGATGTTGATAGAGTTCTCTCTCTCAGAGTACCTGTTGCACCTCTGCTTTTCAAAGGGGGTATTCTGCACATCCTGCCATGCCTCCTGGTCTCATGTGATGTTATTTCTGTGTGCAGGTTGGGATCCCCTCTGCTATTTTCCATGTGTAAATTATTATGTGTCTCTCCCGCCTGCGCTCAAGGGAATACAGATTTAGGCTCTTTAGTCGGTCCCAGTAGTTTAGATGTTTTACTAAGTGGATTCTAGCAGTAAAGGATCTCTGCACGCTCTCCAGGTCAGCAATTTCTCCAGCTTAGAAAGGGGCCATCATTGTGCAGAAGTACTCCACTCTAGAGGTACTCCACGTATATATTATTTTATACCTCTCTCATCTTCTTTCTAGGGAGTACATTTGGAGAGCTTAAAAACAATCCCAAAGTTTAGGTGCTTTATCGTGTCTATGTATGCTGTTTTCTTCTCTGTATTACCTCTATTTCAGCCATCTCTCCTGCTCTGAAGGGGGGAAGAGAGTATCAAGCTGTACTCAAGACAGGACAGCACAGGTGATTTAAATAATACAACCTTTGTGATGGGATCACTGGATTTGAAGGTTTTTGTAATATACCCTAGAATCTTTCTGGCTGACACTATATTTGCTTGGTTATGCTCCTTAATGTTAGGTCATCAGACACCATTATTCGATTTCCCCATCTCCCTGGTTAAATTATTCCTTCTTTTGTAGGGATAGTCATGTCTGTGGTTTTTTCCTTCTTCTATAGTGCCATCTGTGTTCCCTTTCTACCTTGGTCCTCTTTCTGGCTTTCCGTAAAGGAAATGTTTCAGACAGACTTTAAATGCTTCAGAAGTTAGTTGTTCTATTCCTTGTGTGGAATTTCTATTAGAACAGTTTTTCTATTGAATGTTTCTAAGTTCCCTGTTTATTTTTTCCCAGTCTATTATTTTATTATTAAA